TAACACCCAGGATGCCACCCACACCAGTCGACTAACACCCAGGATGCCACCCACACCAGTCGACTAACACCCAGGATGCCACCCACACCAGTCGACTAACACCCAGGATGCCACCCACACCAGTCCACTAACACCCGGATGCCACCCACACCAGTCGACTAACACCCAGGATGCCACCCACACCAGTCCACTAACACCCAGGATGCCACCCACACCAGTCCACTAACACCCAGGATGCCACCCACACCAGTCCACTAACACCCAGGATGCCACCCACACCAGTCCACTAACACCCAGGATGCCACCCACACCAGTCGACTAACACCCAGGATGCGACTCACACCAGTCGACTAACACCCAGGTACCTATTTGCTGCTAGGTGAACAGGACAACAGGTGTAAGGAAACGTGTCGAAATGTTTCCACCCTCCCGGGAATCGAACCCGGGCCCTCCGTGTGTGAAGCGGGAGCTTTACCCACCGGGGCGGTAGTAAGTAGTACACCCGTAGGGGTACTCTACTAACCATTGCTAGTACTATCCTGGACTACGATAACTACTTCTAGTATCGTAGCAACACTGTACTTGAAGATCTACAGCCTCTACAAGGGTTATTTTCAGGATAAATAACGTGGTATATCGACCATGCTGTTGTTATTGTTGTTGGTATATAGGGCCACTGACACCTGCCGCCGTATAAACTACTAAATTTTTTCACGTTATTTCGCTCCTTCTTCGCTGTTTTTAACGAATAAAATTATTATAAACGCTAATTTGTTGTATATTTCAACTCATCCTATGAGCTGTAGCACTAAACAATTATTTCAGAGGTCATAAGAGGTCTATGTGAGATTGATTATAGTAAATTATTTAGATAGATAGTTCGGAGAACCGACCAGTTGGGACTGATTGCCTCAATCTTCCTCTAATCTTCAACATTCTTCTTTGTGAACATTAAAATGGTATAAAATACCGACAGATTGTTAGGTAAGACACATATGCAACATCGTCTTCAAGTATCTTCTGCTTCTATCAACTTTTCTGTACTCGACTGAAGAAGCCTACTGTGTAGGCGAAACGTTTCGAAATAAAGATACCTAACTGTTGCATATGTGTCTTACCTAACATTCTTCTTTGTATTGGACTGATGAAGCCACTGTGTGGTGAAACGTTTCCACACTAGAGATACCTAAGTGTTTCACATGCATCTAATTATCATTATATTATCAAGCTTTGCCACGCGTTTAATAAAGATAAATATTGTGTACGAATGGTATATAATACCGACAAGATGAGAGTAAGACACATGTGCAACATCTGTACCAAGATAAATAAAGATACCAAGATAAATATTGACTGTCTCTGGCCAATACTTAGTTTTATAGTCACAGTGTGATTTGTAAATGGTCCAAGATAAGATAAGATAAGATAAGATTTCGTTGGGATTTTTAACCCCGGAGGGTTAGCCACCCAGGATAACCCAAGAAAGTCAGTGCGTCATCGAGGACTGTCTAACTTATTTCCATTGTGGTCCTTAATCTTGTCCCCCAGGATGCGACCCACACCAGTCGACTAACACCCAGGTACCTATTTGCTGCTAGGTGAACAGGACAACAGGTGTAAGGAAACGTGTCGAAATGTTTCCACCCGCCGGGATTCGAACCCGGACCCTCCGTGTGTGAAGCGGGAGCTTTAACCACTAGGCCACCTGCCTTGTATGGGCCAGTAGGCATTCTGCCGTGTTCCTCCATTCTTATGTTCCTAAGTTCCTCTCTACTATGTGCGGGTTATTTGTGTATTGTTCCAGTCACGGTATTGTTCTTTAAATTGACTTATTTTCATTGTGGGCCTTGTGACATCTTATTTAAATCTTAAAACTTGAAACAGGTAAGTAACTCAACCTCTCAAGTGTACAATGTAATATTGTTGCTGTTTTTAAGGACTATGGTACAAGGACGGTCGGGTCTAAGGATTTGTTAAATGGAATGGTCTGTTGGGTGAAAGGGCTTACTCGGTAGAGAGGTTAGTTGGGTGGAAGGGTTTGTTTTGTAGAGAGATTAGTTGGGTGGAAGGGTTTGTTTTGTAGAGAGGTTAGCTGGGTGGAAAGGGTTATACAGTAGAGGTTAGTTGGGTGGAAGGGTTTGTTTTGTAGAGAGGCTAGCTGGGTGGAAGGTTTTGTTTTGTAGAGAGGTTAACTGGGTTGGGAAAAGGGTTTTTACAGTAGAGGTTAGTTGGGTGGAAGGGTTTGTTTTGTAGAGAGGCTAGCTGGGTGGAAGGGTTTGTTTTGTAGAGAGGTTAACTGGGTGGAAAGGGTTATACAGTAGAGGTTAGTTGGGTGGAAGGGTTTGTTTTGTAGAGAGGTTAGCTGGGTGGAAGGGTTTGTTTTGTAGAGATGTTAGCTGGGTGGAAAGGGGTTATAACAGTAGAGGTTAGTTGGGGTGGAAGGGTTTGTTTTGTAGAGAGGTTAGCTGGGTGGAAGGGTTATGTTTTGTAGAGATGTTTAGCTGGGGGGGAAAAGGGTTTTTTTACGTAGAGGTTAGTTGGGTGGAAGGGTTCACTAGGTAGAAAAGCTGGTTCGGTGGAAGGGTTGACACGGTATTGAGGCGGCTGCCTGAACCCTCTCACTGCTAGCATGATATTGAATATTTAAAACTCTAACTTGCTTAGCTAACAAAACTTTGTGTCCAAATTCCTAGAGCCATTGTGTACCACTGTAATGTTTGAACCATCACCCACAGGGTGGCCATTTGATGCATAACAAAGACACCGCACCAACTAGAAAGTGGCAAAAAAAAAAAAAAAAAAAAAACTTCATCTAGTACGCCAAGGCTGTAACCAAGTTCTCAGTTATGTTGGGTGTGGGATTCATCTATATTATTATTATTATTATAAAAAAATAAGCGCTAAGCCACAAGGGCTATACAGCAGGATTCATCTGTAAAAACTTGCATTTGTGGTCACAGTGGTGGCTTATGCTAACCTCCCTATGGTGCGTAAACTTACCTAGTTGAATGAATCTTGTTATGTAAGACACATATGCAACAGTTAGGTATCTTTATTTCGAAAAGTTTGCCTACACAGTAGGGGGTTCTCAGTCGAGTCCGAAAAGTTGGGTAGAAGCAGAAGAGACTTGAGCGATTTTAAACAGTCCATCACCTTTTAAAAACTTGAGGTGGGCAGTCCTCAGTCTGGGGAAGGATTGTTCCTGTCTGAAAAATATGGAGTTGAAGTGACAGGATGGAGCCTTTATATAGCGCCAGGAGGGAGAAGGTCACTGTAGAACGCAGATGTTGGGAGGTCAGTTCCCTCTCAAATCCAGCCGTTCTCACTAGTAGAGGTTGTCGAAGTTGATTGCAGGTCTGCACCAAGATACCCTTGAGTTGCAGTGTCTGACAGATTGAACATTAAAATGGTATAAAATACCGAATCTTATTGTAGCCAGCTGGTCCAGTGGTTAACGCACTGGCCTGGTTTGTTTCATATCAGCGTTTGTATATTGGCTGCTTAGCCTGCCTGGTGCCTCCTTCCAGCTAGAAATTGTTCTAAATTAATCCACCTGGACTTCCTACTCGTTTCTGCAACATTGCAAGCTCCTGATGACGTGTTGATTTCAACAAGAAAGGCCTAGAGCTATCATTCGACTCCCCTGCGGTTGTTCTGCATCTTTGTATCTTGTTTGCAATTGCATACATATACACCCACACACACACACACAGGATCCATACATAGCTTTAAGAAGAGGTATGATAAAGCTCCTAGAGCAGGGAGAGTGGATCTAGCAGAAACCAGTGAAGAGGCGGGGCCAGGAGCTGTGACTCGACCCCAGCAACTACAAATAGTAAGATCAAATAGGTAAGAGGATATACCAAACAATTTAGACTAGTACCTAGGCATGACTAACATTTTACGTACTTGTGTTTACCTGGGGTACCAGGTACCAGGTGTTGACATTATCATATCAGCGAGGTTACCAGGTGGTGGCGAGGGTAAAAAGTAGGTGAGTTAGGTGGTGTTGGCGGTGGGGTACCTAACTTAGGGGGATAATTATACCTGCCTTGCAGGGGATACCTGCCCATGTTTATATCTATCCAAATACCCGAGTAGTAAGGTGCCCATATATACAGGTACCCAGGTACCAGACACCTAGGTACCAGACACCTAGGTACCAGGCACCCAGGTACCAGGCACCCAGGTACTAGGCACCCAGGTACCAGGCACCAGGTACCAGGCACCCAGGTACCAGGTACCAGGCACCCAGTACCGGGTACCAGGCACCCCAGGCACCGGGCACCCAGGTACCAGGTACCCAGGTACCAGGTACCAGGCACCAGGTACTAGGCACCCAGGTACCAGGCACCAGGTACCATGCACCCAGGTACCAGGTACCAGGCACCCAGGTACCAGGTACCAGGCACCCCAGGCACCAGGCACCCAGGTACCAGGTACCCAGGTACCAGGTACCAGGTACCCAGGTACCAGGCACCAGGTACCAGGTACCCAGGTACCAGGTACCAAGCATCAGGTACCAGGCACTTCCTGCACATTGTACTTGACGTCCTCGTTATATATATAAAAAAACCCCGCTATTCTCCTGAAGGTCGACTCTTGATCCAAGGAACCAGAGCTTACAGTGGTCAGTCGTCACGTGAGGTCACAGACCCTGAGCTGCTTTGGGGATTAGCGTGGACGGTTACAAAGCATGGCTTGCTTCTGCAGTGTTTTAAAAACTGAGGTTGGAGAGTTGAAGGAGGAGGTCTTGCTTCTCCAGGAGGAGATTAGGAGGCTGAAGGTCCACCTCAATGGGCCTGGGAGAGAGTGTGAGGTGGTTGGAGATGTGGGGAATGAGGCTTCTAGCAGTGAGGTGCAGTCTGTCCTCACGTGAGGAGGCTGTAGGTGGGGGGGTAGCAACGGCTACCAGCAGTGAGGTGCAGCCCAGCACCTGCTACAAGTGGCGAGTTTGTTCACATAATGGGAGGCGCATCAGAGTAAGGAAAGTTAAATGAAGATCTGAAGGTAGGAAATCGTTCTCTGTTCTCCAGGATGAATGTACTTCAGTGGCCATGAAGGTAAGGTACTAAATGCCCCTGCTAATGAAGGTAAGCGCATTCTTGTGGGTTTGGGGACTTCCCCAGGTAAGATATGTTGACCGTGCTTTTTGTAATAGGAATAAAAAGATGAGAGATAGAGTGTGCTTCCCTGGAGCTGGGTGTTGGGACATTGTCAACAGGCTGGATAATATCATGTCAGGGAATGGGAACAAGCCCATTTTCTGGTCTCAGTGCTGGTGGAAATGATATTGGGAAGGGTAGGAGAGAAGAGCTGCTAGATTTGTACAAGTCAGCAAAAGATTTCATTAAGTCTAAGGGAGGGATCCCAATCATATGTAGCATCTTGCTAGAAGGGGAAGGAAATGAATGGTTGTCTAGGGCAATTGGTGTAAATTGCTGGCTAGACAGATACTGCAAGGAACTTGCAATCCCATTCATTGACAACTGGAACAACTTTTATGGCAAACATGATATGTATGCAAAGGGGTGGGGTACATCTCTCTGGGCAGGGGTGGTAGCACTTGCAGACTCGATTGAGAAGGCCATTGGTGAAATGCCTATGATTTTAAACTGATGGAAGATAGAGGTATGGGTGTGTGGGAAACAAGCAGGTTGGCAACACTAGGGTTGGAAACAGTAAATGTAAATAAAAGGCATTCAGCAAAGAAGTTATAAATAAAGACAATAGAACAGGTCAGCAAACAAAGGGGGACAGCAGAGGGCAGCAAGGGACTAGCTCCCTTAAGGTTTACTATACTAATAGCAGGAGTGTTAGAAATAAGATAGATAGCTAAGATTAATTGCAAGTGCAGGAAACATAGATATTATTGCTATAACAAAAGACCTGGCTCAATCTGAAAGATAGAGAGATGCCCTCTGAATGTCACATACAAGGCTTTTAAATTATTCCACGCTGACAGGGTCAACAGGAAAAGGGGGTGGAGTAGCGAAAGTATGTCAGAGACAATTAAATTGTTTGTTAGACAAGATATTAAATTAGAAGCGTCAGCCACTGAATCTGTTTGGTTACAGCTTCTTTGAGGGCCGAGAAAAACTAAATTTTGGGTGTGATTTTCAGGGCCCCAAATCTTGATAGGGAGTGCAGTAAACTTTATGGACAAATTCGTAAGGCATCTACATAAAGAAAATGTTTTGCAATGGAGATTTCAACTATAGACAATTGACTGGAGCAATTTGACAGGAAATTAGAGTCGGTACTTTCTTTATTCGATCAGGATGTTTTTTAAAACATTTTGTGACAGAGCCAACTAGGGGAAAAACCTCCTTGACTTGTTCTTGCCATAGGGAAACACTAATTAATACTTGAGGTTTTAAAGATGACTTTGGGGAGTGAACACCAAATCACTCAGTTTAACAATTATTGAATTCCCCCTAATAAATGCAAATCAGTCCCCCGCCCTGAACTTTCGCTTGGCGATTTCCATAGGACTGAAAAATTACTTAGGTGGCTAACGGAAGACCTGACTAAGGGTCAGGTAGTGGTGAAGGTTTTCCGATATGATCTTTCCAGGGCATAGTTTCTAGCTCTTTAGTCAATTATTGTTCCAAATTTGGAAATCAACAAACAAAAATGAACCCTAAATGGAAGAACAATAATTAAAATATCTGATTGGTCAAAAGAGGCATATATAGGCAAATCAAAAGAGAGAAGGGCAATTAAGAAATCGATTAATTCAGTTAAAGAAAGAAATAAAAAAGGGAATTAGAAAAGCAAAAAGAGATTTGAGGTTTAAAGTTGCAAGAGACGAAGACTAACCCCAAAAGGATTCTTTCAGGTATACAGAAGTAAGATCAGGGACAAGTAGGCCCACTCAAAAGTTTTCTCGGGCACTCACTGACAGTGATAAGGAAATGTGTAGAATTTTAACACATACTTCCTCTCAGTTTTTACACAGGAGGGGTACCAGTGATATTCCAGTAAAAGATAAATTATGTAGAACAGGACGATAATAAACTGTGCACTATTAGGGTCACAAGTGACATGGGCCTTAGGCAAATAGATAAATTAAAACCTAACAAATCCCCAGGCCCTGAGAACTGTATGCAAGGGTTCTAAAGGAATGTAAAGAGGAGCTTAGCACACCTTTGGCTAATCTTTTCAACATATCACTACAAACTGGGCATGTGCCAAGATAAGTGGAAAATGGCAAATGTGATACCTATTTTCAAAACAGGTGACAGGTCCTTAGCTTCGAACTATGACCAATAAGCCTAACCTCCATAGTGGGAAAATTTATGGAATCAATAATTGCCGAGGCAGTTCGTAAGCCACCCTTTAAAAGCATAAATTAATCAACGAATCTCAGCATGGTTTTACAAAGGGTGCGTTCCTGCCTTACGAATTTATAACTTTTTTCACTAAAGGTATTTGAGGAGGTAGATCATGGTAATGAATATTTATATTGTGTATAGGACTTCAGTAAGGCTTTTGACAGGGTCCCACATCAGAGACTATTGAGGAAAATTAAAGCACATGGAATAGGAGGAGAAATTTTTTCCTGGATAGAGGCATGGTTGACAAATAGGCAGCAGAGAGTTTGCATAAATGGGGAGAAATCAGAGTGGGGAAGCGTCACGAGCGGTGTTCCACAGGGGTCAGTGTTGGGCCCCCTGCTGTTCACATCTACATAAACGACATAGATGAGGGCATAAGAGCGACATCGGCAAGTTTGCCGATGACACCAAAATAGGCCGTCGAATTCATTCTGACGAGGACATTCAAAGCACTCCAGGAAGATTTGAATAGACTGATCCCAGTGGTCGGAGAAGTGGCAGATGCAGTTTAATATAGACAAATGCAAAGTTCTAAATGTTGGACAGGACAATAACCATGCCACATATAAACTAAATAATGTAGATCTTAATATTACGGATTGCGAAAAGATTTAGGAGTTCTGGTTAGCAGTAATCTGAAACCAAGACAACAGTGCATAAGTGTTCGCAATAAAGCTAAATAGAATCCTTGGCTTCATATCAAGAAGCATAAATAATAGGAGTCCTCAGGTTGTTCTTCAACTCTATACATCCTTGGTTAGGCCTCATTTAGATTATGCTGCACAGTTTTGGTCACCGTATTACAGAATGGATATAAATTCTCTGGAAAATGTACAAAGGAGGATGACAAAGATGATCCCATGTATCAGAAACCTTCCCTATGAGGATAGACTAAGGGCCCTGAAACTGCACTCTCTAGAAAGACGTAGAATTAGGGGGGATATGATTGAGGTGTATAAGTGGAAGACAGGAATAAATAAAGGGGATGTAAATAGTGTGCTGAAAATATCTAGCCTAGACAGGACTCGCAGCAATGGTTTTAAGTTGGAAAAATTCAGATTCAGGAAGGATATAGGAAAGTACTGGTTTGGTAATAGAGTTGTGGATGAGTGGAACAAACTCCCAAGTACCGTTATAGAGGCCAGAACGTTGTGTAGCTTTAAAAATAGGTTGGATAAATACATGAGTAGATGTGGGTGGGTGTGAGTTAGACCTGATAGCTTGTGCTAACAGGTCGGTTGCCGTGTTCCTCCCTTAAGTCAATGTGACCTGACCTGACTAGGTTGGGTGCATTGGCTTAAGCCGGTAGGAGACTTGGACCTGCCTCGCATGGGCCAGTAGGCCTTCTGCAGTGTTCCTTCGTTCTTATGTTCTTAATAATAAGAATAATATTAATAGTATACCTGGAGGGTGTTCCAGGGGATCAACGCCCCTGTGGTGGATCAGGACCTGATCAACCAGGTTGTTACTGCTGGCTGCACGTAACCCAAGTTTACCTGTTATTCTGTTATCACGTATTTTGTGTGCTATTACACCATGGTCACACTTGTCCAAGACTTTTGCAAAGTCTGTGTAAACTACATCTGTGATTTGTATGTCTTCTAGAGCGACCAGGACCTTGCCATAGTGGTCCAGTAGTTGTGAAAGGCAGAAGTGACCATCCAAGACCATGTCATAGTGGTCCAGTAGTTGTGAGAGGCAGGAGTGACCATCCAAGACCATGTCATAGTGGTCCAGTAGTTGTGAGAGGCAGGAGTGACCATCCAAGACCATATCATAGTGGTCCAGTAGTTGTGAGAGGCAGGAGTGACCATCCAAGATCATGTCATAGTGATCCAGTAGTTGTGAGAGGCAGGAGTGACCATCCAAGACCATGTCACATAGTGGTCCAGTAGTTGTGAGAGGCAGGAGTGACCATCCAAGACCATGTCATAAGATAAGATAAGATAAGATTTCGTTCGGATTTTTAACCCCGGAGGGTTAGCCACCCAGGATAACCCAAGAAAGTCAGTGCGTCATCGAGGACTGTCTAACTTATTTCCATTGGGGTCCTTAATCTTGTCCCCCAGGATGCGACCCACACCAGTCGACTAACACCCAGGTACCTATTTGCTGCTAGGTGAACAGGACAACAGGTGTAAGGAAACGTGTCGAAATGTTTCCACCCGCCGGGAATCGAACCCGGGCCCTCCGTGTGTGAAGCGGGAGCTTTAGCCACCAGGCCACAACTACTGGTCCAGTAGTTGTGAGAGGCAGGAGTGACCATCCAAGACCATGTCATAGTGATCCAGTAGTTGTGAGAGGCAGGAGCGACCATCCAAGACCATGTCATAGTGGTCCAGTAGTTGTGAGAGGCAGGAGTGACCATCCAAGACCATGTCATAGTGATCCAGTAGTTGTGAGAGGCAGGAGCGACCATCCAAAACCATGTCATAGTGGTCCAGTAGTCGTGAGAGGCAGGAGTGACCATCCAAGACCATGTCATAGTGGTCCAGTAGTCGTGAGAGGCAGGAGTGACCATCCAAGACCATGTCATAGTGGTCCAGTAGTTGTGAGAGGCAGGAGTGACCATCCAAGACCATGTCATAGTGGTCCAGTAGTTGTGAGAGGCAGGAGTGACCATCCAAGACCATGTCATAGTGGTCCAGCAGTTGTGAGAGGCAGGAGTGACCATCCATAACACATGTGTGGGATGACCCGTGTCCATGCGCCCTCTCCATAGAATGTTGAAGGTACGTGACAGGGGCTTCTTGCAGTTCTTGATGAACTCAGAGTTCCATGAGTCTGGGCCTGTGGCAGAGTGCATGGCCATGTCATTTATTGCTTCGTCGAAGTCTTGTGGTGTTAGGATAATATCAGAGATTTTTGAATTGACCAAATTTTGAGTCTCGGTCATAAAAAAAAATCATTTAGATTGTTGACTCTTAGCCTAGTTAACAGTTCACTAAACACTGAGTCGTACTGGGACTTTACTATCTCAGTTCTTTGCTGTTATCTGTGTAGGTCCCATCTCGTTTAAGCAATAATAATGTTAGTAATAACAGTAAGAATAATGATAATAAAATAAAAATAATAATAATGGTTAAAAAGTGAGTCAAATTGTGAATTGTGTAAGTGGTATTGTACTGCTGCATAATCCGGCTGTGGCTGTTTGTGGGAGGATTGAGGTTGAAGAGATTGCAAGGTTGAGGGGGGGTTAGGAGGGTGTAGGAGAGGGGTAAGACAGGTGTGAGAGGGGGTTGAGAAGCAGGTAACCCTGTCCACTATCCACTAGTCCGGTTGCAGACGTCGTTGCAAGACCAGCACCTCCTCCTCCTCCTCCCCCCTCTCTCAACATGCAAATTGCAGTCGTGGCTGTGGTATTGCTGGCCGTGGCTGTGGGTATGGGCGTGGGCGTGGGCGTAGTTGGCGACTCTCCCCTCTACACACAGTCCCTGGAAGAAACTTTCAACGATCGTGCAACTGTTGAAAGCATAATTGATTGCTTCCTAGAGAAGATCACTTGCTCGCCTCAACAACAGAAAATCAAAGGTTAGTTTGTTTAGCTTTCATGATTCTATCTCCTTCAAGGAACTTACCTTGATTGTGCCTTCTTCTGTGTCCTTCCTTCAAGGGACTCACCTTGATTGTGCCTTCTTCTGTGTCCTTCCTTCAAGGGACTTACCTTGATTGTGCCTTCTTCTGTGTCCTTCCTTTAAGGAACTTACCTTGATTGTGCCTTCTTCTGTGTCCTTCCTTCAAGGAACTTGCCTTGATTGTGCCTTCTTCTGTGTCCTTCCTTCAAGGAACTTACCTTGATTGTTCCTTCTTCTGTGTCCTTCCTTTAAGGAACTTACCTTGATTGTGCCTTCTTCTGTGTTCTTCCTTCAAGGAACTTGCCTTGATTGTGCCTTCTTCTGTGTCCTTCCTTCAAGGAACTTACCTTGATTGTTCCTTCTTCTGTGTCCTTCCTTTAAGGAACTTACCTTGATTGTGCCTTCTTCTGTGTCCTTCCTTCAAGGAACTTACATTGATTGTGCCTTCTGCGTTCTTCCTTCAAGGTACTTACCTTGATTGTGCCTTCTTTTATGTCCTTCCTTCAAGGAACTTGCCTTGATTGTGCCTTCTTCTATCTTCCTTCAAGGCATGTACCTTGATGGTGCCTCGCATGTTCCTTCAACGAAGGTACCTTTATGCTACCTTCCATCTTCTGAATTCAAGGAACTTACCTTGATGTTTATGAATGGCATCAATTCAAGAAATAAAGTTTTCATTCCTTCCTTCTATTCTCCATCAATTTTGTGATCCCTAAACCTTCAACTCTTCCCTATGCACCTAACTGTAGACGTAAATCCTAACTCTTTAAGGTTTAGTTCCTATGCAGCAGCTTAAGAATGCCTCTCCAGACTGTCTTCTAACCTTCCAATCTCATGTATATAACTTCAGAATCTCACTTAACTTTGGGTTGTTAGGTAAGACACATATGCAACAGTTAGGTATCTTTATTTCGAAACGTTTCGCCTACACAGTAGGCTTCTTCAGTCTAGTACAGAAAAGTTGATAGAAGCAGAAGAGACTTGAAGACGATGTAATCAGTCCATCACCCTTAAAGTTTTGAGGTGATCAGTCCCTCAGTCTGGAGAAGAGCATTGTTCCATAGTATGAAACAATATGGAGATGAAGTGACAGGATTGAGCCTTATATAGCGCCAGGAGGCGAGACATAGGTCACTAGTAGAAGTAAGAACGCAGATGTTGGGAGGTCAGGTCCCTCTCAAATCCAGCCGTTCTCACTAGCAGAGGTTGTCCAAGTTGATTGTAGGTCTGTACCAAGATACCCTTGTGTTGCAGTGTCTGACAGATTGAACATCAAAATGATATAAAATACCGACAGGTTGTTAGGTAAGACACATACGCAACAGTTAGGTATCTTTGTTTCAGACTACGGAACAATACTCTTCTCCAGACTGAGGGACTGACCACCTCAAAACTTTAAGGGTGATGGACTGATTACATCGTCTTCAAGTATCTTCTGCTTCTATCAACTTTTCTGTACTAGACTGAAGAAGCCTACTGTGTAGGCGAAACGTTTCGAAATAAAGATACCTAACTGTTGCATACGTGTCTTACCTAACAACCTGTCTGTATTTTATACCATTTTGATGTTTAACTTTGGGTTGTACACGTTGAGCCTAAAATCTCAGTGATAAATAATATAAACCCCAATTAAGGGTGACAGAAATATATTTTAGGGGTGGTGACCACTGGACTAGGCCTAAACAGTACTTATCATTTCAGAACGAGCCTACGCAGCCATGAGGAACCTAGGCACCTGCCCTAGGTCGTTATGTACACCTAAGCAGCAACAGGAGATAACTAGATCAATGGAATTATTGCAACAAAAACATCCTGACTTGTTCCTGCAGCTTATTGCATCAATCTTTGGGATCGACATTAGTTAAATTGTAATTATTATTGATTTAAAAATTATTTTTGTAATGTATTTATCTTGGTTTTTACGTAATTTCGAAAAAAAAGGTTTCTATATATTTATAGTTAATTTTCCAAAAATTAAGACAACCTCTTTTAATGTCAAATTTTATGTGTGTATATTAATGTAAAAATTAGTTTGTCATATTTCAAAATATTTTTTATAAATAATGTTACTAGAAAAATATAAAAAAATAGTTATTTAGATATTCAAAATTTTATTTTACTTTTTTTTTAAAAAATTCGAGTTTGAATAAAAAAATTTTTAAGCGCCTTCGGCCTTTTTTTTCCTACAGCTGCGGAAAAAAGTTCCTAGACAGACATAATATCTGGCGATTTTGACGTTGTAAACAGAGTAGTAGAGACTATTATTATCATGATTGATTTAGTGCAGCTTGTAACGATGATGCTGTATGACTCTTGTAGGTTTAGCGCTTCATTTTGATAACAGTGAGAGATTTAAAGAAGACACAGTGTTAGACTCGTTGATACCATTGATGCCCTTGTATGTTAGGTCAGGGATCACTGTTATGCTATTGACTGGTCCTCTGTTAAAACTGTCTACCCATCTTCTAGCCTTCACAGATGCTGTCTACCCATCTTCTAGCCTTCACAGATGCTGTCTACCCATCTTCTAGCCTTCACAGATGCTGTCTACCCATCTTCTAGCCTTCACAGATGCTGTCTACCCATCTTCTAGCCTTCACAGATGCTGTCTACCCATCTTCTAGCCTTCACAGATGCTCTCTACCCATCTTCTAGCCTTCGCAGATGCTGTCTACCCATCTTCTAGCCTTCACAGATGCTGTCTACCCATCTTCTAGCCTTCACAGATGCTGTCTACCCATCTTCTAGCCTTCACAGATGCTGTCTACCCATCTTCTAGCCTTCACAGATGCTGTCTACCCATCTTCTAGCCTTCACAGATGCTGTCTACCCATCTTCTAGCCTTCACAGATGCTGTCTACCCATCTTCTAGCCTTCACAGATGCTGTCTACCCATCTTCTAGCCTTCACACATGCTGTCTACCCATCTTCTAGCCTTCACAGATGCTGTCTACCCATCTTCTAGCCTTCACAGATGCTGTCTACCCATCTTCTAGCCTTCACAGATGCTGTCTACCCATCTTCTAGCCTTCACAGATGCTGTCTACCCATCTTCTAGCCTTCACAGATGCTGTCTACCCATCTTCTAGCCTTCACAGATGCTGTCTACCCATCTTCTAGCCTTCACAGATGCTGTCTACCCATCTTTTAGCCTTCACAGACGCTGTCTACCCATCTTCTAGCCTTCACAGATGCTGTCTACCCATCTTCTAGCCTTCACACATGCTGTCTACCCATCTTCTAGCCTTCACAGATGCTGTCTACCCATCTTCTAGCCTTCACAGATGCTGTCTACCCATCTTCTAGCCTTCACAGATGCTGTCTACCCATCTTCTAGCCTTCACAGATGCTGTCTACCCATCTTCTAGCCTTCACAGATGCTGTCTACCCATCTTCTAGCCTTCACAGATGCTGTCTAACCCATCTTCTAGCCTTCACAGATGCTGTCTACCCATCTTCTAGCCTTCACAGATGCTGTCTACCCATCTTCTAGCCTTCACACATGCTGTCTACCCATCTTCTAGCCTTCACAGATGCTGTCTACCCATCTTCCAGCCTTCACAGATGCTGTCTACCCATCTTCTAGCCTTCACAAATGCTGTCTACCCATCTTCTAGCCTTCACAGATGCTGTCTACCCATCTTTAGCCTTCACAGATGCTGTCTACCCATCTTCTAGCCTTCACAGATGCTGTCTACCCATCTTCTAGCCTTCACAGATGCTGTCTACCCATCTTCTAGCCATCATAGACACTGTCTACCTTACTTCTAGCCATCATAGACACTGTCTACCCTATTTCTAGCCATCACAGACACTGTCTACCCTATTTCTAGTCTTCATAGACACTATCCTACTTCTAGCCACCACAGACACTGTCTACCCTACTTCTAGCCATCATAGACACTGTCTACCCTACTTCTAGCCATCACAGACACTGTCTACCCTATTTCTAGCCATCATAGACACTGTCTACCCTACTTCTAGCCACCACAGACACTGTCTACCCTACTTCTAGCCATCATAGACACTGTCTACCCTACTTCTAGCCATCACAGACACTGTCTACCCTATTTCTAGCCATCAGAGACACTATCTACCCTACTTCTAGCCACCACAGACACTACCTACCCTACTTCTAGCCACCACAGACACTGTCTACCCTACTTCTAGCCATCATAGACACTGTCTACCCTACTTCTAGCCATCACAGACACTGTCTACCCTATTTCTAGCCATCATAGACACTGTCTACCCTACTTCTAGCCACCACAGACACTGTCTACCCTACTTCTAGCCATCATAGACACTGTCTACCCTACTTCTAGCCATCACGGACACTGTCTACCCTATTTCTAGCCATCAGAGACACTATCTACCCTACTTCTAGCCACGACAGACACTACCTACCCTACTTCTAGCCACCACAGACACTGTCTACCCTACTTCTAGCCACCACAGACACTACCTACCCTACTTCTAGCCACCACAGACACGTCTACCCCTACTTCTAGCCATCATAGACACTGTCTACCCTACTTCTAGCCATCACAGACACTGTCTACCCTATTTCTAGCCATCAGAGACACTATCTACCCTACTTCTAGCCACCACAGACACTACCTACCCTACTTCTAGCCACCACAGACACTGTCTACCCTACTTCTAGCCATCATAGACACTGTCTACCCTACTTCTAGCCATCACAGACACTGTCTACCCTATTTCTAGCCATCATAGACACTGTCTACCCTACTTCTAGCCACCACAGACACTGTCTACCCTACTTCTAGCCATCATAGACACTGTCTACCCTACTTCTAGCCATCACCGACACTGTCTACCCTATTTCTAGCCATCAGAGACACTATCTACCCTACTTCTAGCCACGACAGACACTACCTACCCTACTTCTAGCCACCACAGACACTGTCTATCCTACTTCTAGCCACCACAGACACTACCTACCCTACTTCTAGCCACCACAGACACTGTCTACCCTACTTCTAGCCATCATAGACACTGTCTACCCTACTTCTAGCCATCACAGACACTGTCTACCCTATTTCTAGCCATCATAGACACTGTCTACCCTACTTCTAGCCACCACAGACACTGTCTACCCTACTTCTAGCCATCATAGACACTGTCTACCCTACTTCTAGCCATCACAGACACTGTCTACCCTACCATACCATACCCCCGGCCGGGACTGAACCCGCGGTCATAGGGTATGGTTTGTTTGCAATCGTGTCATTACGATTTCTTGAGGCACTGTCTACCCTATTTCTAGCCATCAGAGACACTATCTACCCTACTTCTAGCCACCACAGACACTACCTACCCTACTTCTAGCCACCACAGACACTGTCTACCCTACTTCTAGCCACCACAGACACTGTCTACCCTACTTCTAGCCACCACAGACACTGTCTACCCTACTTCTAGCCACCACAGACACTGTCTACCCTACTTCTAGCCACCACAGACACTGTCTACCCTACTTCTAGCCACCACAGACACTGTCTACCCTACTTCTAGCCACCACAGACACTGTCTACCCTACTTCTAGCCACCACAGACATCGTCTTGTTAAAGCATCACTTATACACAACTTTCCCTGTATGAATCTCAGTCCTGGTTTTCTCCTTACATTGTCAGAAGCTCCAACTCTAGAACACTCGTGACTTGATATGATACTTTTTTCTCTCACTACCTCTTCTTCTTTCCTGTTTGTACCATATTTCTTCGTTTCCATTTCTCTGTCTACTGTATACTGTCCTTGTTTCCACCCTCTCCCCTGTGTTGTTGTGGTCCTGCCCCTTATAGGTCCTTAGCTCTCCTGCAGAGCTATTGTTTCTGTCCTTAGACTGTCCCCATTTTTACTACCATTCGTTTACTACTGTTTCTGCCTCTGTCATTTGTACTATTACTATTGCCTCCCTTTTCTCCCCTTTCTGTCTCTTGTGGCACAAACTACTCCCCTTACTACTACCACTTTTTCCTACTGTCCCGTCTATCTTCCTCGTCTGTGTGTACTGGCTCACTCACTCTTCTGTCAGTGTGACTTATGAATGAGCCAAGATGGATCGATACGTTGTCAAAAGCGTTTCTCTCCCCTATATGCAGGTTGTTTGTGTGTGTGTATGTGTGACACACACACACACTATCGATAAGCGCCCTTGATAAACAGTAACTAACACAACAGATGATGTAAAGTTGATGAGAATAATTCATTCGGACGAGGACCAGGCAGAGCTACAAAGGGATCCAGCCTGTCCAGCCAGTTGCTGGACAGGCTGTAGACCTGGTCCAGCAACTGGCTCCTGGAGTTCAACCCTACCAAGTGCAAAGTCATGAAGATTGGGGAAGGGTAAAGAAGACCGCAGACGGAGTACAGTCTAGGGGGCCACAAACTACAAACCTCACTCAAGGAAAAAGATCTTGGGGTGAGTATAACACCGAGCACATCTCCTGAAGCGCACATCAACCAAGTAACTGCTGCAGCATATGGGCACCTAGCAAACCTCAGAACAGCATTCCGACATCTTAATAAGGAATAGTTCAGGACCCTGTACACCGTGTACGTTAGGCCCATATTGGAGTATGCGGCACCAGTTTGGAACCCACACCTAGCCAAGCACGTAAGGAAACTAGAGAAAGTGCAAATGCTTGCAACAAGACTAGTCCCAAAGCTAAGGGGTATGTCCTACGAGGAGAGGTTAAGGGAAATCAACCTGACGACACTGCAAGACAGGAGAGACATGGGGGGATATGATAACGACATATAAAATATTGAGAGGAATTGACAAGGTGGACAGACAGGATGTTCCAGAGATGTGACACAGCAACAAGGTGACACAACTGGAAGTTGAAGACTCAGGTGAGTCACAGGGATGTTAGGAAGTATTTCTTCAGCCACAGAGTTGTCAGGAAGTGGAACAATATGGAGAGTGATGTAGCGGAGGCAGGATCCATACATAGCTTTAAGAAGAGGTATGATAAAGCTAATAGTACCAGGACCCAGGTACCAGGCAACCAGGTACCAGGCACCCAGGTACCAGGCATCCAGGTACCTAGGTACCAGGCATGCAGGTACCTAGGTACCAGGTATGCAGGTACCCAGGCATCCAGGTACCAGGCATCCAGGTGCCCAGGCATCCAGGTACCAGGCATCCAGGTGCAAGATACTCAGGTACCAGGCATCCAGGTACAAGGTACCAGGTACATCCTTCACATAATACTTGATGTCTTTGTATATATATTATATATATTATATATATTATAATATATATATATATATATATATATTATATATATATATATATATATAACACCGCTACTCTCCTGAAGGTATATTGTGTGAGTATTGTATATGTTGTATAGTCTGGCTGTGGGTAATTTGTGGGATAACGAGTGTGGTTGCAGAGATTGCAAGATTTAGGGGATTGCAGGTGGTAAAAAAAGGTATGGGAAGGGGGGTTAAGACAAGTTTGGGTGTGGGGGGTGTTTGAGGGGGTTAAGACAGGTGTTGGGGGGTGAGAGAAGGTAACCTTGTACACTGTCCACTAGTCCGGTTGCAGACGTCGTTGCAAGACCAGCACCACCACCTGCCCACTTTCAAGATGCAAGTTGCAGTCGTGACACTGGTGTTGCTGGTGGGCGTGGGAGTGGGCGTAGGCGTGGGTGAAGACTCCTCCTCCTACAGAGAATCCCTAGAAGAAGCCTTTAATGATCGTGCAGAAATTGAAAAAACGATCGAATGCTTCCTAAACAGGATCCCATGTTCGCGTAAACAGCAGAAGATCAAAGGTCAGTCTCTCCTCTCGTCTCGTATAAGATGTAGAGTTATCGTATAAGATGTAGAGTTATCGTATAAGATGTAGAGTTATCGTATAAGATGTAGAGTTATCGTATAAGGTGTAGAAATATCTTATAGGTCGTAGAGCTATCTTCTGAGACATAAAATTTTCTTCTTGTAAGACGCATGTTGACCTTACTGACCCACCTGGTCAGTAAACACCTGCCAAATGTTACTGTTACTGGTTTATTTACAGAGGAATATCTGAGGTCTCAGGGGTTCGTACGTCAGCTTGCGTGCGGCCGGTCTCAGACCGAGCCGCGGGGGCGCTGACCCCGAAACTTTCTCCAGGTAAACTCCAGGTAATCTCGGTGAGGTTCAGGTGTTACTCTCCGCTGTTTTCCGTTCCGTCTCGGGTTATATCTTCTTACAACCAGGGGTCTTGAAGACAACCAGGGGTCTTGAAGACAACCAGGGGTCTTGAAGACAACCAGGGGTCTTAAAGACAACCAGGGGTCTTGAAGACAACCAGGGTCTTGAAGACAACCAAAGGTCTTGAAGACAACCAGGGGTCTTGAAGACAACCAGGGGTCTTGAAGACAACCAGGGGTCTTGAAGACAACCAGGGGTCCTGAAGACAACCAGGGGTCTTGAAGACAACCAGGGTCTTGAAGACAACCAGGGGTCTTAAAGACAACCAGGGGTCTTGAAGACAACCAGGGTCTTGAAGACAACCAAAGGTCTTGAAGACAACCAGGGGTCTTGAAGACAACCAGGGATCTTGAAGACAACCAGGGGTCTTGAAGACAACCAGGGGTCTTGAAGACAGCCAGGGGTCTTGAAGACAGCCAGGGGCCTTGAAGACAACCAGGGGTCTTGAAGACAATCAGGGGTCTTGAAGACAACCAGGGGTCTTGAAGACAACCAGGGATCTTGAAGACAGCCAGGGGTCTTGAAAACAACCAGGGGTCTTGAAGACAACCAGGGGTCTTGAAGACAACCAGGGATCTTGAAGACAGCCAGGGGTCTTGAAAACAACCAGGGGTCTTGAAGACAACCAGGGGTCTTGAAGACAGCCAGGGGTCTTGAAGACAACCAGGGATCTTGAAGACAGCCAGGGGTCTTGAAGACAGCCAGGGGCCTTGAAGACAACCAGGGGTCTTGAAGACAACCAGGGGTCTTGAAGACAACCAGGGGTCTTGAAGACAGCCAGGGGTCTTGAAGACAGCCAGGGGCCTTGAAGACAGCCAGGGGTCTTGAAGACAACCAGGGATCTTGAAGACAGCCAGGGGTCTTGAAGACAGCCAGGGGCCTTGAAGACAACCAGGGGTCTTGAAGACAACCAGGGGTCTTGAGCTTCAGGTGTTACCGCTGTTTTCCGTTCCGTCTCGGGTTATATCTTCTTCCAACCATCGGGTTCTTTACCCGGAGAGACTTTAACTGATAGTGTACATCTCGTGCGCCACGGTATACCACATTCTCGGGTCCTTGTCTGTACTTCGATGCATTACACAGCAGCTCGTATCAACTTGGACAAGTGGTATACTCTTTATCTCTCCTCTGCCATTTATCTATCCTGGATGTGGCATCTCTGATTTCTTCCCTACCTCTTCCTCTCCTTTCCTCTCCTCTTTGTAGATTTTAACGTTCATTATTCCTCCGGGGAGTTTCACTGTGACTATCGTGGTGCTCAGTGGTTCTTCTCAGTATTCTTCCCCTCTCTTTTAAATACAGGTTCTCCAGCTCATTTCGACCCTCACACTCTCTCTTGCATAGATTTCTCAAGTTGCTACTTACTTATTCCTCAACTGCACTCAACGGTGCTCCCTCGATCATTTTCCTGTCTTCTCATGTGTATTTTCGACCGCCTCGTAGCCTACGTTGACAATCTCAACAGGCGAACTGGGTCATTTACTCGCGTCAAACTGTTTCTAGTCAAAAACCTTCTTCTTTGTCCTCAACTGCTGAGTTATTACCTGGAGTTTACCTGGGGAGGGTTTCGGGGGTCGATCAACCAGGCTGTTACTGTTGGCCACACACAAGTTGACGTACGAACCACAGCCCGATTGGTCAGATGCTGACTTGAGGTGCCTGTCCAGTGCCTTCTTGAAGACTACTGGTAGGCAGTTGAACAGTCTTAGGCCCCGGACACTTAGTGTGTTGTCTCTCAACGTACTCGTAGATATTTTTGTCCTTGGTTTTAACCACAGCCTCGAATACAATCCCTGAAACCTCAGATGGACATCCTCAGAAATGCGTAACTTGTGCTCGAGCAGTGGGTTTGTAATATGCTGCTTGAGGCCTATATCATTAAAACAGGACCTCAGAGCTACTGGATTTTAAGCTGGCGAGGGCAGTTGACCGATGTGTTGTCCGAGAGGCTGAACACACTTGACGAGGGATTATGATTCTAACGTCACTTCGACTGACTCAGTGAATGCAGTTTGGAAGTACGGAAATTGAGTGGCAACTACTCTCCAGACCAGCTCTGGTTCTTAGGTTAGCATATTTTAATATCTATTATGTACCCCATACCCATCCTGTGAGCGGTAGTCACCCCATACCCATCCTGTGGGCGGTAGTCAAAAGATTACAGAAGTACATAATGGGTCCAGGGACTGTACCTCAACATTACAGAGGTACATAATGAGTCCAGGGACTGTACCTCAACATTACAGAGGTACATAATGGTTCTAGGGACTGTACCTCAACATTACAGAGGTACATAATGGGTCCAGGGACTCTACCTCAACATTATGGAGGTACATAATGGGTCCAGGGACTGTACCTCAACATTATAGAGGTACATAATGGGTCCAGGGACTGTACCTCAACATTACAGAGGTACATAATGGGTCCAGGGACTGTACTTCAACATTACAGAGGTACATAATGGGTCCAGGGATTGTATCTCAACATTACGGAGGTAAATAATGGGTCCAGGGACTGTACCTCAACATTACAGAGGTACATAATGGGTCCAGGGACTGTACCTCAACATTACAGAGGTACATAATGGGTCCAGAGACTGTACCTCAACATTACAAAGGTACATAATGGGTCCAGGGACTGTACCTCAACATTACAGAGGTACATAATGGGTCCAGGGACTCTACCTCAACATTATGGAGGTACATAATGGGTCCAGGGACTGTACCTCAACATTACAGAGGTACATAATGGGTCCAGGGACTGTACCTCAACATTACAGAGGTACATAATGGGTCCAGGGACTGTACCTCAACATTACAGAGGTACATAATGGGTCCAGGGACTGGCCACAGAAACTGGAAAGTATCTTGTCCCTGTCTCTCAGGACTCCACATCCTGGTCTCTTTCCTCCAAGTCTGCCAGACACTGTCTTGAGACATTTCTTCTAGAAAAATGGTCTTATAAAGTGCCTTTTAACGCTTCTAGAAAGGCAGTTGGGCCTAATCACTCACTACGAAAGCAAAAGACTTGGCAGACGATGCACCATCCCCCCAATGAAAAGCAGGGCTGCCACTAGCACGTTAAGAGACCATACAATAAGTGTCAGGGGCCCGAGATTGTTCAACTGCCTCCCAGCACACATAAGGGGGATTACCAACAGACCCCTGGCAGTCTTCAAGCTGGCACTGGACAAGCACCTAAAGTCAGTTCCTGATCAGCCGGGCTGTGGCTCGTACGTTGGTTTGCGTGCAGCCAGCAGCAACAGCCTGGTTGATCAGGCTCTGATCCACCAGGAGGCCTGGTCACAGACCGGGCCGCGGGGGCGTTGACCCCCGGAACTCTCTCCAGGTAAACTCCAGGTCTCCAGGTAATAGTATTTATGGACCCCCGGTTAACGATATTTTTTCACTCCAGAAGTATGTTCAGGTGCCAGTACTGACCGAATTTGTTCCTATAAGAAATATTGTGAAGTAGATTAGTCCATTTCAGACCCCCAAACATACACGTTCAAACGCACTTACATAAATACACTTACATAATTGGTCACATTCAGAGGTAATCGTTATGCGGGGGTCCACTGTATTAGTATACTACAGTACCGTCAGCCAACACAGGGGGCGTTGACCTCAGAAACCTTACCCATGTATGGTACTTTACCAGTCTTCAACGCCCTTCATTACCTTTGTAAATTGTGAGTTCATTACCTTTGTAAATTGTGAGTTCATTACCTTTGTAAATTGTGAGTTCATTACCTTTGTAAATTGTGAGTTCATTACCTTTGTAAATTGTGAGTTCATTACCTTTGTAAACTGTGAGTTCATTACCTTTGTAAATTGTGAGTTCATTACCTTTGTAACTTGTGAGTTCATTACCTTTGTACCTAGTTCAGCTATCAAAACTTTGGGGGCCCAGTCCCTGGACCCATTACGTACCTCTGTAATCTGTAAATACCTTTGTAACTTGTCATGATTGTGATTAGACCTACCTGGAGTTCATTACCTTTGTAAATTGTTAGTTCATTACCTTTGTAATTGTGAGTTCATTACCTTTGTAAATTGTGAGTTCATTACCTCTGTAACTTGCTCAGCTATCAAAACTTTGGAGCCCAGTCCCTGGACCAATTATGTACCTCTGTAATCTTTTGACTACCGCCCACAGGATGGGTATGTGGTGACTACCGCCACAGGATGGGTATGGGTGACTACCGCCCACAGGATGGGTATGTGGTGACTACCGCCCAACAAGGATGGGTATGGGTGACTACCGCCCACAGGATGGGTATGTGGTGACTACCGCCCACAGGATGGGTATGTGGTGACTACCGCCCACAGGATGGGTATGTGGTGACTACCGCCCACAGGATGGGTATGTGGTGACTACCGCCCACAGGATGGGTATGGGGTGACTACCGCCCACAGGATGGGTAAGATGTGGTGACTACCGCCCACAGGATGGGTATGTGGTGACTACCGCCCACAGGATGGGTATGTGGTGACTACCGCCCACAGGATGGGTTATGTGGTGACTACCGCCCACAGGATGGGTATGTGGTGACTACCGCCCACAGGATGGTATGGGGTGACTACCGCCCACAGGATGGGTATGTTGGTGACTACCGCCCACAGATGGGTATGAGGTGACTACCGCCCACAGGATGGGTATGGGGTGACTACCGCCCACATCATGGGTATGGGGTGACTACCGCCCACAGGATGGGTATGGGGTGACTACCGCCCACAGGATGGGTATGGGGTGACTACCGCCCACAGGAGGGTATGTGGTGACTACCGCCACAGGATGGGTATGGGGTGACTACCGCCCACAGGATGGGTATGTGGTGACTACCGCCCACAGGATGGGTATGGGGTGACTAACCGCCCACAGGATGGGTATGTGGTGACTACCGCCCACAGGATGGGTATGGGGTGACTACCGCCACACAGGATGGTATGTTGGTGACTACCGCCCACAGGATGGGTATGGGGTGACTACCGCCCACAGGATGGGTATGTGGTGACTACCGCCCACAGGATGGGTATGTGGTGACTACCGCCCACAGGATGGGTATGGGGTGACTACCGCCCACAGGATGGGTATGTGGTGACTACCGCCCACAGGATGGGTATGGGGTGACTACCGCCCACAGGATGGGTATGTGTGACTACCGCCCACAGGATGGGTATGTGGTGACTACCGCCCACAGGATGGGTGTGGTGACTACCGCCCACAGGTGGTATGGGTGACTACCGCCCACAGGATGGGTATGGGGTGACTACCGCCCACAGGATGGGTATGGGGTGACTACCGCCCACAGGATGGGTATGGGGTGACTACCGCCCACAGGATGGGTATGGGGTGACTACCACCCACAGAATGGGTATGGGGTGACTACCACCCACAGAATGGGTATGGGGTGACTACCACCCACAGAATGGGTATGGGGTGACTACCGCCCACAGGATGGGTATGGGGTGACTACCACCCACAGAATGGGTATGGGGTGACTACCACCCACAGAATGGGTATGGGGTGACTACCACCCACAGAATGGGTATGGGGTGACTACCGCCAACAGGATGGGTATGTGGTGACTACCGTCCACAGGATGGGTATGGGGTGACTACCGCCCACAGGATGGGTATGGGGTGACTACCACCCACAGAATGGGTATGGGGTGACTACCACCCACAGAATGGGTATGGGGTGACTACCACCCACAGAATGGGTATGGGGTGACTACCACCCACAGAATGGGTATGGGGTGACTACCGCCCACAGGATGGGTATGTGGTGACTACCGTCCACAGGATGGGTATGGGGTGACTACCGCCCACAGGATGGGTATGTGGTGACTACCTCCCACAGGATGGGTATGTGGTGACTACATCCCACAGGATGGGTATGTGGTGACTACCGCCCACAGGATGGGTATGTGGTGACTACCGTCCACAGGATGGGTATGTGGTGACTACCGCCCACAGGATGGGTATGTGGTGACTACCGCCCACAGGATGGGTATGTGGTGACTACCGCCCACAGGATGGGTATGGGGTGACTACCGCCCACAGGATGGGTATGGGGTGCATAATAAACATATTAAACTAACCTTACAGACTCATCCCTACAGCACTCCATGACCCTGGTGGGTTTAGCGCATAGTTTACATTATAACTAGGCCTAAATAAATACTGATTCATTACAGAACGAGCCCTTGCAGCCATGAGGAACGGAGGTACCTGTCCCAGCACCTTATGTACACCTAAGCAGCAGCAGGAGACAGCGAAGTCAATGGAACTACTGCAACAAAAATATCCTGACCTGTTCCTACGCCTCATTGCATCACTCTTTGGGATTGGTTATTAATAAATTTATCAAAATAATTATCATTATTATTCTTATTGTTGAGTAGCAATTATTTTATCTGTACTTCTTGGTAGGTTGACCTACCATTATGGTAGGTTGACCTACCATTATGGTAGGTTTGACCTACCATTATGGAGGTTGACCTACCATTATGGTAGGTTGACCTACCATTATGGTAGGTTGACCTACCATTATGGTAGGTTGACCTACCATTATGGTAGGTTGACCTACCATTATGGTAGGTTGACCTACCATTATGGTAGGCTGACCTACCATTATGGTAGGTTGACCTACCATTATGGTAGGTTGACCTACCATTATGGTAGGTTGACCTACCATTATGGTAGGTTGACCTACCATTATTGGTAGGCTGACCTACCATTATGGTAGGCTGACCTACCATTATGGTAGGCTGACCTACCATTATGGTAGGTTGACCTACCATAATGGTAGGCTGACCTACCATTATGGTAGGCTGACCTACCATTATGGTAGGCTGACCTACCATTATGGTAGGCTGACCTACCATTATGGTAGGTTGACCTACCATTATGGTAGGTTGACCTACCATTATGGTAGGTTGACCTACCATTATGGTAGGTTGACCTACCATTATGGTAGGCTGACCTACCATTATGGTAGGCTGACCTACCATAATGGTAGGTTGACCTACCATTATTTTTCGGGATTCCTAAAAAACAATTTTTTTTTTTTTTTATTCGCCGGTATTCTCCCGGCCCGGGTCTTCTCCAAGTAGTGGTGACCCGGCCTTGGCTCCCTATCTGGGGAGTGTCTCGAGACTTAAGTCTCCCATGGGAGGAGGTACAACTACCTCCTCATCTTTGGGACCAACTGTCCCCAGGCCTAGCCACATCCCCCGCCCTCACGGGGCTCGTAGGGAGAAGCTAGGCCTCTGGTCTGCCATCTGCCCCGCCCTAAAAGGGCTCGTGGGGATGGCAGTCTTATGAGCTGCAGATGGTAGCAAGCTCAGGCCTCTCATATCTCTTTTGTTTTTAGTTAGTTAAAGATTAGCCGGTATTCTCCCGGCCCGGGCCTTTTTCCAAGTGGTGGCCCGACCTTGGCTCTCTCTTTAGAGAGTGTCTTGAGACCTAAGTCTCCCATGGGAGGAGGCACAAGTACCTCCTCATCTTTGGGACCAACTGTCCCCAGGCCTAGCCACAAGCTAGGCCTCTCTGGTCTGCCATCCCCGCCCCAAGGAGGCTAATGGGAATGACAGTCTTATGAGCTAAAGGCTCGGGCTCAGGCACCTGTTTTTTTTTTTTTTAATTTATATAGATTATTCATATTTTTTTGACAAATATTCATAAAATTACCTAATTTTATGTTATAGTTTTTACCTGGGTTAAAATTTATATAAAATTTTTAAAGATTTATATTTCTAAATATTTTTGTTAAATTATGGTATACGAAAAAATAAAAATATTTGTTATCTTACATAGATATTTTAATTTTTTTTTTGAGTTGGGATATTTTTTTCAGAGACTAACTGCACCAATTCCTTGGATCTAGGGTGTTGGAGGAGGGATGGTGGAGTGTTGGAGGAGGGATGGTGGAGTGTTGGAGGGATGGAGTATTGGATGAGTTACGGAGTACTGAAGGAGTCTTGCAGGGTTGGTGGTATACCTGGAGGGTGCTTCGGGGGTCAGCGCCCCCGCGGCCCTCTTGAAGACAACCAGGGGTCTTGAAGAAACCAGGGGTCTTGAAGACAACCAGGGGTCTTGAAGACAACCAGTGGTCTTGAAGACAACCAGGGTCTTGAAGACAACCAGGGGTCTTGAAGACAACCAGGGGTCTTGAAGACAACCATGGGTCTTGAAGAAACCAGGGGTCTTGAAGACAACCAGGGTCTTGAAGACAACCAGGGGTCTTGAAGACAACCAGGGGTCTTGAAGACAACCAGGGGTCTTGAAGACAACCAGGGGTCTGGAAGACAACCAGGGTCTGGAAGACAACCAGGGTCTGGAAGACAACCAAGGTCTGGAAGACAACCAGGGGTCTGGAAGACAACCAGGGGTCTGGAAGACAACCAAGGGTCTGGAAGACAACCAGGGGTCTGGAAGACAACCAGGGGTCTGGAAGACAACCAGGGGTCTGGAAGACAACCAGGGGTCTGGAAGACAACCAGGGGTCTGGAAGACAACCAAGGGTCTGGAAGACAACCAGGGGTCTGGAAGACAACCAGGGGTCTGGAAGACAACCAGGGGTCTGGAAGACAACCAGGGGTCTGGAAGACAACCAGGGGTCTGGAAGACAACTAGGGGTCTATTGGTAATCCTCCTTGTGTTCTCTCAGTGTACTCGTGGCGCCTCCGCAGCTTTTCATTGCATCTCCTGCCGAGTCTTTTCCTTTCATAGAGAGATTTTTGTGTGCAAATTTGGGACCAGTCGCTCTAGTGTATGTTATGATGTATCTTTCTCGCCTGCGTTCCAGGGAGTACAAGTCAAGTAATTTTGGTGCTTTATCGCACTTAAACGTGCAGTGAAAATTCTCAGTATATTCTCCTAGACTGCAATTTCACCTGCCTTGAAAGGGGCCGTTAGTGTACAGCAATATTGGAGCCCAGGATGGTGTTGATGGTGACTGGTGGTACTGGTGGTGATGACTGGCAGCGTTGGTGTTGGTGGTGATGACTGGCAGCGTTGGTGTTGGTGGTGGTGACTGGTGGTGGCAGGAACCAACATATCATCTGCCATACAAGGCAGACACTGTCGACACATCGTCTTCCTTGGCTGGGTAGGGAAGTGTGCCTCCGTCTGCAACAACAAGAGCAACATCAGAATAACTGCAACACACACATTGCAACATTCCCTCAACTATAAAAGTAACACAATAACCAAGAGGAAAAACATTAACAAAAGTAATTATGTGGCTAGAACAATTTAGAAATAACTACTGGTGTCGCTGGTAGTGTTGCTGGTAGTGTTGCTGGTAGTGTTGCTGGTAGTGTTGATGACAGTGTTGTCGGTAGTGTTGCTGGTAGTGTTGCTGGTAGTGTTGCTGGTAGTGTTGCTGGTAGTGTTGATGACAGTGTTGCTGGTAGTGTTGCTGGTAGTGTTGCTGGTAGTATTGCTGGTAGTGTTGATGACAGTGTTGCTGGTAGTATTGCTGGTAGTGTTGCTGGTATGTATTGCTGTAGTGTTGATGACAGTGTTGCTGGTAGTGTTGCTGGTAGTGTTGCTGGTAGTATTGCTGGTAGTGTTGCTGGTAGTATTGCTGGTAGTGTTGTTGACAGTGTTGCTGGTAGTGTTGCTGGTAGTGTTGATGACAGTGTTGCTGGTAGTGTTGATGACAGTGCTGATGGTAGTGTTGATGACAGTGTTGCTGGTAGTGTTGCTGGTAGTGTTGATGACAGTGTTTCTGGTAGTGTTGCTGGTAGTATTGCTGGTAGTGTTGCTGGTAGTGTTGATGACAGTGTTTCTGGTAGTGTTGCTGGTAGTATTGCTGGTAGTGTTGCTGGTAGTGTTGCTGGTAGTGTTGCTGGTAGTATTGGTGGTAGTGTTGCTGGTAGTATTGCTGGTAGTGTTGATGACAGTGTTGCTGGTAGTGTTGCTGGTAGTGTTGCTGGTAGTATTGCTGGTAGTGTTGCTGGTAATATTGCTGGTAGTGTTGTTGACAGTGTTGCTGGTAGTGTTGCTGGTAGTGTTGATGACAGTGTTGCTGGTAGTGTTGATGACAGTGTTGCTGGTAGTGTTGCTGGTAGTGTTGCTGGTAGTGTTGCTTGTAGTGTTGCTGGTAGTGTCGCTGGTAGTGTTGCTGACAGTGTTGCTGGTAGTGTTGATGACAGTGTTGATGACAGTGTTGTTGGTAGTGTTGCTGGTAGTGTTGATGACAGTGTTGTTGGTAGTGTTGATGACAGTGTTGCTGGTAGTGTTGCTGGTAGTGTTGCTGACAGTGTTGTTGGTAGTGTTGATGACAGTGTTGCTGGTAGTGTTGATGACAGTGTTGCTGGTAGTGTTGATGACAGTGTTGCTGGTAGTGTTGCTGCCAGTGTTGCTGGTAGTGTTGATGACAGTGTTGCTGGTAGTGTTGATGACAGTGTTGCTGGTAGTGTTGCTGCCAGTGTTGCTGGTAGTGTTGATGACAGTGTTGATGACAGTGTTGTTGGTAGTGTTGCTGGTAGTGTTGATGACAGTGTTGTTGGTAGTGTTGTTGGTAGTGTTGATGACAGTGTTGCTGGTAGTGTTGCTGAGAGTGTTGCTGGTAGTGTTGCTGAGAGTGTTGCTGGTAGTGTTGATGACCCGTGTTGCTGGTAGTGTTTGATGACAGTGTTGATGACATTTTTGCTGGTAGTGTTGATGACAGTGTTGCTGGTAGTGTTGCTGCCAGTGTTGCCCGGTAGTGTTGATGACAGTGTTGCTGGTATGTGATGACCAGTGTTGCTGGTAGTGTTGATGACAGTGTTGCTGGGATGTTGCTGCCCGTGTTGCTGGTAGTGTTGAAGACAGTGTTGCTGGTAGTGTTAAGAGCCATCATTCCCGTAAAGCACCCCCTAGTATGTACAGTATCCACAGTCAAAAA